TTCCTTCCTTCCTTCCTTCCTTCCTTCCTTCCTTCCTTCCTTCCTTCTTCCTTCCTTCCTTCCTTCCTTTTTCTTTCTTTTTCTCTCTCTCTCTCTCTCTATTTCCTCCCCTTTCCTTTCCTCCCCTTTCCTCCCCTTCCCTTCCCTTCCCTTCCCTCCCTTGATACCTTCATGAGCTTCAGAAGGCTTGGGAACAGGGATTGAGTGGGGCAGAGCTACACAAGCTGTTGGCCAAGTAGTAAGACTGGAAAGATCAAATGGATGCAGTTACAGTACTTAGAGGGACCTTTCACAGGCTACCACTTCTGTTGTCCATTTCTTTTCCAAAGTAGAGTTGGAAGTTGGCTGGGCAGTTCCCTTTAGCCAATCTCTGTTGAGAACAGGCAGGTAATACCATGAGCCGGTTCATGCTCCCTCCAGGACCTCCTGACCTGCATTATTTAGTATAGCCATAGTCAAAACCTTTTAACTGTCCAACTGGGAAGATACAAATAGTGGGTACATTACAGGCTAATTTTGTTGAGACATAAAAGGACTTTCAGTAACAAAGGTAACAGCCAAAGAACTTTTATGAGATCTAGTTTTGATAAAAGTATACGGTTAACAAACTTGTCTTCTTCATTCTTGGGACCGATTCTCACTTTTTCTACTTACACGTGAATATTAGTATACAAAGCAAAAAAAAACAACAACCACCTGATCAAGTGGCAGAGAGCAAGAGAGGAAACACTTCAAAATTATACTGTCTTCCATTTAAAAATGAAGCACCAATTGGGTTCAGAAATCACTGTTAAACATGGCCAAAGAGCAGAAGCAACTGACTGCAGTCTGTTTTCCTTTGTCTATGAGAGGCCTCTTATGGCTTCTTCTTCAAAGTTGATCAAGAGACTTTTGTGACTTAGGTTTTGCTCTCAACCACTTCTCTCTCTGTCACATACAAAGAATTGGCTTTGCCTGTAAAAGCAGGCTCATCAAACTTAATGATCAAGGACACTATGCTCTCAACTTTTGTGATATACAAAGGGAAATGAGAGAAAGGTTCCACTTGATACATGGGTCAGAATTGTATTTTGAGTTTTTGAAATGCTGACCTCCCTTTTTAACCAATCATCCTCAGAACTGTCCTGATTCCTAGGGGGGAAAATGGCATTTTCTGGAAAACTTATGTAATGATATCTGAGTAAAAGGTAATCAAAGTTGTTCATTTTTCATACAGTTTGAATTTTTGGCACTTTTTAAAATAGTATGATAGATTTTTTGTTGTTAAGGGAAAAAAGGCCGTACACTGAGTTGGTTAAAGCTGAAAATATCTTTTCTACAGAAATGCTAGCAAGATATGTGTGTATTATTCTAATGTGAAATTCTTAAAAGATAAGTTTTTTAAATGACCAAGTGAATAAACATACAAGAATGGTCGAATGGCCCATAATGTCTATATTGTCCAGTACCAAAGACTGATGAATCTTTTATGCGTTTACCTTTCAGAATCAGAAATGGTATTACCAGTTCTAATACCTACTATTATTGTTACCATTTTCTTTTTGGGATCGGGTCAGATAAATTCAAATTGAATACTGAAAATGTAACCTTCATCTGAAAGATTTTTGGTTTGTACAAACCAAATGATCTGTGCTTTTTGTAAACGTGGGGAACAAAATTGTGAAAGCGTTCCATAATTTAGTATAAATTTACATAAAGCATTTAATTAAACGTAAATAGTTTCCTGCTTTCCTTTTTAAACAATTCATATCGGTCGTATGGGGACTTCGCAGATACATTTTACTACATATACACATAATTCTAATTCTGTGCTTGTAGTTAAATTTTCTCCTACTCTAACTAATGGCAACTTTCCCCCCCTCTATTGCTTTTAGAGAAACTGGCATATAATGTTGAATTCCTAATGGAAGAACTTCTAACAACACTTAAATATTTGGTAGTACCGATACTTAAGTGCTTTGTAATCGATAATAAAGATTTGGTTTGTGCCTCAGTAAATGGCAAGTGTTAAATACCTACTGATAGCCTTAAACTTTGCCCTTCTCATATGGTTGTGTAAATGCAAAAACTTATTTCACCGATTTACACTGACTTTCTGGGAAACTAAAAAAAATCCAAAACCCATGTTCTGTAACACCCTGTTGTGACAGAAGCAGTTTACCTGCTTTTTTGTCTTTAAAGTTTCCGTATGGCATACCTGAAGTGCGCACTTTGGCTTACTGCAGTTGTGTCATCTCCTTGGAATTTGATACAGTGTAGTTGTGTATAAATCACAATATCTTCTAACTAATAGAAACCTGATTCAGTCTCAATAACGTGCATTAAATAAAAATTCTGGAGCAGCATTTTTGAAACCTGGCAACTGTAAAATCCTGACGTGGACTTCAGTTCCCAGAATTCCCCAGCCATTTCCAGGAGTTGAAGTCCACACACCTTAAACCTTCCAAGTTTGGAGGGGAAAAATTACTCTAGAGGTATGTGTGTTGTGCCTACATCTGCTTATGCCAGCCCATTTTACCTAAGGAGAGAGCAGGGATTGGTGAATCCCAAAGTAGCTATGGAGGATGTTATCTGTTCTAATTTGAATATCACAAGCTAAATCTACTTCATGGTCCCAATGCCTCTGATTCATGCCAAGTAATGTTTTAGCAGCTACATAACAGATCAGTGTTATAACACAGGACAAGGAACAGTTGGAAGAGAGCTACATACACCCCAATTTTAGAGTTACATACATTCCCATGTACCACAATTTTGGGGACAATTCAGTTAAGAAACAAAACCAAAACAGATCAGTTTATATTGTTTATTTAAATGAAAATTTTACAAATACACAGAACTTCCTTTGGCACTTGGAAATCCAAACTTCGTAGTGACATGATAAAAATCTAAGGCATAAATGCAGTCTTTAAAAACTGAAATACACAACGTAGCATATAGTTTAACAATAAATTACTCCATTTTATATAAATTATTAGTAGCAAACCTCAAATAAGAACAGCACCACAGTAGAAAAATAAATTGATAAATGACCAGTTTAATTTTTAACTGAATATTATTTATTAAATACCATTAATCATATCGAAAAAGATTCTGAATTTTGTTTTATCTATTGTGTGCCTAAAGATGATTTGAATTAGAAGACCAGAAGCTTCAAGTTAATTGAAATATTAACACTCATTCTAAGCTGTCAGTATAATGCTGCAAAATAGCAAAAATATTCCTCTACGATATGCTCCAAAATTTAAAATGAATAGATCGTAGCAATAAGCACAATAATGTTGTAATCCCAATATTTCATTGAAAAAGCTGATCCTGTTAATGCCTGGCCAATGTCCTCACTCAAAAGCACGAGGAAGAATTTATCCTATAAGGCTGTATAGATTCAGATTAAATTTAGAAGAGTTACCTGAGAACTTAATAGAATTCATAGTGTGAAAGCAGCTATATCGGTTTCCTAGTTCACTCAGCTGCAGTGAGAAATCTTTGGAGGGAAACTTGCCTGAAATCTGTGAACAGAGTTGCTTTAATGAGACTCAGATGCGGTGTTTACATTCTTCATTCTGAAACACTGCACATTCCTATTCATCCAATCTTCACAGCATCTATACCCTGCTGAGAACGTTTTCAATATATGTATGGACTTTTTATTAGGTTACTAAGGAGATTATGTCTCTGAATCCAGTGTTAGAAACTGGCCCAGCAGACCAGTCAATTCTTCCTTTGTAAATAAATATCTGGGATCCAAAAGTGTCCTTGCAATTCTTACTGCAATTCTTTTTTCTTTCATGTGGCCTATTAAAGCCTTATATGACCAAAATAATAATAATAATAGTAATAAAAATAATAATCAAAAGATATATTCTAATCAAAAGCAAACCTTGACATGTTTAGTACGTATATCCTGTGAATTTTGATGAGAAGTATAACCCATTGCTGAGCTAAGTATTCCAAACACTTCCTAGACAGGAAGTCTTGACTTAATTGTTCATTTTGTGACTTTTCAAAGTCACAACAGCCACTGAAAAAAGTGACTTATGACATTTAACAACCGCTGCAGAAGCCCAACAGTCGTGTGGTCAACATTTGGACGCTTGGCAACTTCTGGCCGTTGCAGTGTCCCGGAGTCACATGCTTCCCTTTCCTTTGGTGACCCTTTTTGACAAGCAACATCAATGGGGAAGCCAGATTCACATAACTAAATTGAACAACTGCAGTGATTCATTTAACAATGGTGGCAAGAAAAGTCGTAAAATGGAGCAAAACTCCTTTAACTGTCCCAGCAACCAAAATTTTGAGCTCAACTGTGAGCGTAATTCGAGGATTATCTTTGAAAGCCCCCTTTTAAGGAAAATCATTATCTATGCATGTATAATAGGTTAAAAGATAATTATGAACAATTAAATACAAAACAATTAAGATGCCCAATGTCAAAGGTTAGAATTTGTCAAAGCCTAGTGGCAGATACCATTTTTTGTTGTTGTTAACTTTTTATTGTTAACATTTTTAAATTTTCATTGTGATACTAAAGCGGTGTTTCTTAACCTTGACAACTTTAAAATGTCTGGACTTCAATTCCCAGAATTCCCCAGCCAGTTGAGAAACCCTGCATTAAATCGTGTACAGTCCGTAACAAAATTCTCCAAATACATGTTTTCATATGTTTTGAAATGAATTAATCATGGAGCAACAAACTTACATTTAAAATGTTTTGCAACTACTATCTTAACACTGTATTTTGAAGTCTTAAAGGTCATGAGGCTTTCAGCGTTTCTTCTTTTAATATCTACTTTTAGCCTCCGAGATGCGTTTAAATTCTTGCAGAGATAAAAATGTTTGCAAACCATAGAACAGAAGCACGTATAGTGTTATGTGGATTTGAGGATTTGTTATTTATTTTAGTAATTCTCATACCAATTTCTGTAACTTTATGAAACATTTAAGCAGGATGTAGCTTTAAGGCATGGATGAGTGTTATGTGGATCGAGAAGAACTGAACATTAATTCAAATACTTGCGCAACACTAGAATACTAATTTTTGTCTCTTCCCTACATGGCGTGCAAGTATATACTCACAGTATTCCAATTAAAATTAACTCTGAAAATTAACTTTTTTTCAAGTAAAAAACAGCAACAACACTTGGATTTCAAAATGACTGACATCAACACTATTACAATTTCTATTCAGTCCTGCTCTTCTGGAAGAGCTCAGCAGGGTGGCTTACAATTAAATTAGGATTAAATCAAACTACAATAGCAGAACATAGCAGATGTGATGCTCAATAAATTTATTTGCCCATGTTAATTTTGTTTATTTAAGAACATTTATATGACTGCCCACTCACTCTCAGTGACTCTGGGTGGCTTACCAAAATTAAAAACAACTAGTACTAATACTGCTGCATAACAATAGGGCCACAAAGCAAAGAATCACAGAGATATGCTCTCAAGACTTAATTCCATGCCACAAAATATGTGAGGCTGTCAATTAAATGTTCTCTGTGAACTCCATTAACACTCCAAACTGCAAATTGTCTAGCATCATTTTATTGCACCACATTTCAATTTATCGCTTCTCCCCTGTTGCAAGCTGACCACATTCTTCTGCATACTGTTACCCTCAGCAGCTTCTCACTTCAAGTACCATCCAGGCGTTGGGACAGTCTAGCCGCAATCCAATTTCTGTGTTGATATACATCGGTTCCGAATGACTATTTCTTCAAATACATCAACCAGAGTACCAAAGTCTAGATATCTATTATTATTCATTACGTATCAACAACTTTCAACGTATTCTCTGCATCGAAATTAATTGGGGAAAAGGAATCTTTTAATATTGAACAAAACGTAGTAAATGAGACCAAGGTTTTTTTTCCCTGCCATCTGCACAACTTAATAGAAACAAACAGAGGTCTGACCCCCTTCAGAAATGCATATATAGGTTAACAGTATGAACACTTGTATTCTACTTGCTTACTAAGATGTCCTGCTTTTTTTGAGGTAACGGTAGCTTTGGTCTAGCAGTTTTAAATATTCCACATTCCTTAGAAGGATCAGTGCTTCATGCAGCCCAATTGCTTGTGTACCCAGCTATATCTGTCTCTGTTCCTGCAGCAGCAGCAGCATTCAGAGCTTCTAAAGCAAAATTACAGCCACTGTTCTATCAGCACATATCAAGATACTGTCAAGTAGTTTGCCTATCAAGCATATAGTCAAAGTTGCAGTTGATGTTTTGTGGCTAGCTTCTTATCCGTGACCTTCCATTAACAATATCCCATTTCAAAACCGAAGCTGGGGATGGAAAGACCGAGTGAAGGAGGATAAGCAGAGAGGATATCTTCAAACTGCTCAGTCTCAATAAAGCAGAATTGTATTGGCAGTGAACCAGTGTATTTTCATGCACTCTCACAAGGCAGCTTTAAATGTTTCTAATTTTGTTCAGTTTTTACGGGACCTCTGCCAGAAGCAATTTTCAAATGCCTTGCCTAAGAAACTGACAAACCAAAAGACCTAAACACATTTTAAACTGGGATATTTTCCAAAATGAACCAACGGCTGTTTGGGCAGAAGCAGAGGTGAGTAATCCTATTATGAGTTTTGCCAAACTCAAATTATTCAAAGTACTACTTGGAAAAAACTTGATTTTTTAACTTGGTAGGAGAAGAGAATAATAGCAATAGCACTTAGACTTTTATAGTGCTTAATGGTGCTTTATAGCCCTCTCTAAGTGATTTACAGAGTCAGCCTCTTGCCCCCAACAACCTGGGTCCTCAACTTACCGACCATGGAAGGATGGAAGGCTGAGTCAACCTTGAGCCAGTGGGAATCGAACTGCCAAACTGCTGGCATTCATCAGAATTAGCCTGCAATAATGCATTCTAACCACTGTACCACCATAGTTCTGATAGTCCAACAACCTGCAGCTGCTCAACTACAAACAATCTTAGACTCTGTTTCCATAATCAGTTTCCATAATGACTTGAATTCCCCAGCCAATATTAGAACATGGAATTCAGTGCATATAAATTTCAGAAAACAGATGCCTCAATATAGTGGGACCAAATAAAGGTCTAAGTATAATGTCTGAGAAATACATAGTTGCAAAGATAAAAATACCAGAAACAAAAATGAATTAATGTATTAATGTTGCAGTCTTAGGCCAGCTCAGCTCTCGAGGCCATATTAACAAATCAGCGGAAGAATGCTGCCCTTATTTTGAAACATACACAGGCCTATTTGGTAATTTTAATTCAACAATACCCTGAAGTACATTCTGCATTTCTGTTTAACTGCCTTCTACACAGTACGTACCTTAAAACATTATTGGCCTAATCAACAGTGCTACATGTGGAGATCTGTGTGTGAGAAGTGCTTCATTTAATATTTGTACAAATAACCAAAAACATTCTTGCAAACATGCAATGGCTTGAACTTAAATATAGTGATTTTTCTTTCCATAGTACCCACATTTGCCTTTAATACGTTTTACCACATGGGTTGATAGAGGTTTGGCAACCCATATTACGGCTCTTAACTGGAATACGGAATAATGTCCCATCCGAACACATACAAAGTTTGTAACGTTCCCAGTCACCATTGTTAAATTGTTCCTTGTGAGAAGAATTTGGCAGTCGGGATACATTGATCATCACGCTTCCATTCAGGATAATGGAATTGTCCTAGGAAAGGAATATGTCTAAATCAATGAACATGCAACAGTCTTCATGGTCTTCTTTTAATATTATCTACTTTTAGCCTCCAAGATGCCTTTACATTCTTGCACAGATAAAAATGTTTGCAAACCATACAACAGAAGCACCTATAGTGTTATGTGGATTTGAGGATTTATTTATTTTAGCAGTTTTCATACCAATTTCTGTAACTTTATGAAACATTTAAAGAGGGTGTAGCTTTAAGGCATGGATGAGGACTGTGGATCGAGAAGAACTGAACATGAATTCAAGTGCTTGCACAACATTGTTGATACTTTTAGATCACATGATCCATTTTCATTTTGCATCAATGGAAGATTTCATCGAGTTCTAGTCTTAAGAGTAGCAACACTTTCCTAACTTACTACATAATATCCCTTAATATTAAACAGCAATGGAGGGACAGAGTGTAAAATTTTATCATTGGATTGCAATCTTTCTGCTTGTTTATAGAGTTGGGATGCTTGCAGAATATATTCATAATATAGTCTGATGCTACCTGGCCTGCTCTGGGTTTCCTGGATTAATGTGTGGAAGAGAATTATCAGTTTTCATGCTTTCTGAATATTCTAAAGTTGTTCACAGTTTAAAATACAGGTAGTCCTCACTTAAAGACTACAATTGGGCCCAGAATTTCTTTCATAATTCATTGCAGTCATTAAGTCGGTTACCATGTGACCTTACTGTGTTACAACCAATGTCATTAAGTAACACAGCTGTTAAATCAATTCTGAATAGGCATTTTTTGTGGGAAGTTGATAAAATCCCACCAGAAACCGACTAAAAAATGATGGAAATTGCAGTCACAGATTCAAGCCATTGCCAGGCACCAAAAATTGCAATCATGTATCTGGAAGGGAAGCATCAACCATAACTTTTGAGGATGGATCCTAATTTTCTTTTTGGGGTCTGTTGCATTTTTGAACAATTATTAAGCAACCAGTCATTAAGCAAGATTATCTATACTATCACAGTCATACATTGTGAGAGACAATATTTTAAATGTTTTATAGAAATAATATAAACCACTTTTAATGTTTTAAGTAAGAAGCAATACTATAAAATGTAAATTGTCATTATTTATATGCAGTTGTGAAGTTAACGTGACCATGAATGTAAAAATAAGAATGGTTTACCAGTAAACACAAGCAAAATAAAGGCAGTAATTTAATACATTCATCCTTATTCAAAATAGATTTTGAAAGCAGCTTATTTTATTTATTTATTTATTTTGTCAAAAGCTTTCAATACAATAGAAATAAGAATAAACATAAGTTTAAATATAAGAAATAGGAACTAATAATTGGGGACAATAGGACAGGGACGGTAGGCACGATTGTGCACTTATGGACGCCCCTTACAGACCTCTAAGGAATGGGGTGAGGTCAATAGAGGTTAGTTTGAGGGTAAAGGAGTGGGGGGTTTGAGCAGGTGACAACAGAATCAGGTAGTGAGTTCCAGACATTGACCAATCTGTTGCTGAAATCGTACTCCCTGCAATTGAGTTTGGAGTGGTTTACATTTAGTTTATATCTGTTGTGTGCTCTTGTGTTGTTGTGGTTAAAGCTGAAATATTAATTAACTGGTAAGACAGTTAATATTCATTAACTGGTAAGCTTACTTTAATAGTGTCCAGTTCTCTTATTTTCTACTCATCAAGAAAGAAATATGAGTTACAACTAAATATAGAAACAAATGTGTCTCCAACCTTCCCTTTCTTTTTTGAAATTGTTCAAATGGAAGCAACCATCTGGGGTGACTAATTTGGACTCTTGAAATTTAAAAAGGTTTGGACTTCATAGTCTAAACTGGCCAATCCAATGTTATGTTTGTTTGAAATCGCAATACCATGTTTTTAACACATTCCTTCCCTCCCTGCAACCTTACAGTCACCTGCATTGTACTCCACGTATTGAGCCTACTTACAGCTACAATACAGGTAATACTTGACTTGCAAGCATTCGTTTAGGACACTGTCTTCTTACTCTTCTGCAAAGATGCTATTTAGTTTTAATACTGAATATTCAAATATCCTGCATTTGCTTCCAAACATAGCCGCAAGTGTTTGGGTGCATATAATTTATTCGGGAATTCAACAGAGCATTGTGTGTATGAAGCGGAAAGCGTTTATGCACAGAACAGATTTAAAGGCCAACTGAAACATTCAAAATACAGTGTGTATGTGTTTGTGTGAGAGTGTGTGTGCATCCAAGTTTAAGTTCACGAATGGCAAAACTGAACCAGTATCTGACCAAATGACATTTCTTTAGTCGAGCGACCACATTATAAAATAGCTGAAAATCCTGGAATTACTTACGGCTCTCAGTTCCAAGTTCCGTCCGATGGAAAACTTTATGGTTTTGCCCATAATAAACACTCCTTCATTTCCACGGACAATAGCGCGCCCATCCACTTTTATATTGAGATCACTGGTGGCATTGCTTGTAATCTAAAGAGAAAAAAGAGCATATTGGCTATACAATATGTTTACTAAACTAGTATCAAATATATTTTAAAAAATGAAAATATCTTGTGTAAAAGGCGCCTTGTTCTTAAACAGTGCTATTCACTATTTGCACTTTGATTATAGCACATAATTGTTTAGGATTACCAGATCTGGACTTTAAAATTGCTCTCAGATCTGAATGTTAAAGTTCTAGATTTCTATTCTTATTCATCTGCTGTCTTATTTGTTGTTTGGATTCTTGTTACAGAAACAGTAGCTTTATCTAGAATCAAATTTTGTTTATCAGAATAGAACAGAACAAAAGCTGGAAGGGACCTTGGTGGTCTTCTAGTCCAGCCCCCTGCTAAACCAGGAGAATTTATACAATCTCAGACAAATGATTGTGCGGTCTCTTCTTAAAAACCTCCAGTGACGGAGCGCCCACGATTTCTGAAAGCAACTTCTGTTCCACTGATTAATTGTTCTCACGGTTAGGAAGTAGTTTCTCCTTAATTCCAGGTTGCTTCTTCCTTTGATCAATTTCCAACCATTATTTCTGGTCCTGCCCTCTGGGTGCTTTGGAGAATAATTTGACCCCCTTTTGAATATTAGTTTGTTCAAAATTTGTTTATTATTTTATAGAAACTTAGCTTTATCTAAACATCACAGAGCAGCACTAACTGAGTTCTGTATGATTTCTATTTAAGCGATATGCTTAGAATTGGGTTCCTCCATGCCGGTACCATCACGGCACCTGCCACCCCTAAGATCTGAATTGCCCTTCCCCTGACTCGTGTTTAAAAGGTCCATGGAAACTTGGCTTTTCTGAATCTTACGTTAGGGTGGATGGCAAGTCTGTTGCAAGGGAGGTGTTTTTTTTTTTTTTTTGGGGGGGGGGGGGGGGGCTTAATTTAAATGGAAGTAAATCATTGTTTTTATTGCTCTATCTTTTTTTTCTTACAGATAGTCCTTGATCTACAATCATAACTGAGACCAGAATGTCTGTCACTAAGCAATGTGATTGTTAAATGGGTTAAATAAGCAAATCATGTGTCATCAAGCCATTCTGGCTTTCCCATTGAATTTGCTGGTCGGAAGCAAGGTGGGAAGTGCATAATTGATGATCTACCATTGTAGAAACATGCCGATTGCCAAGTGCCCAAATCGGGGTCATGAAACTGTGGGTATACTGACATGGTCGTAACCGTGAGGACCATTCTTGTGATGACCCGGGGCGTGACACAAAAATAACACAGTCACAAAAGTGGAATAAATTCCCTTTCATGCTTCCAACTTGGGCCCCAATGTCCAATTAGCCTCGACTTGATATCAAACTCTTCCAAAAAAAAAAACAGTCTACGAAGAGAGTAAATGCAGTCCGAACCAAAAGTAAAAATAATTAGAAATTTAAAAAACCCAACACAAACCACACTGGAGTCATTAACACGGCAGGCCAGGATGATAAATTGCAGACTTCCATAAGATAACGCAGCAACCACAGTTGGGAAGATGCCAAAACCCAAATAAGCCTCGACCAAGATAAAGCACACTTTGCTACCAGCAAAGAGCTATTTAAAATGCCTCACTTATATCCTGTTCTCCCAGCAACTAATGCAACTAATGAAAGGGATCAGGGCCTTTTCCTCTCCTGTAAGATATGTTGCTCCCTTCTCAGTTTTGCCCTACATGCCCTAGGATGAAGAGGGGATGGTCCTGGGTCTTCCTCTGAATGCCCAGCGGAGTGTGGTCTTCCCCCGTTTCTTCCACAGCTTCTGGAGGCACACTCCCACCCCCTGTCAGCTCCTCAATCTCCCCCTCAGAGTCAGACTCCACAAGGGCATGACAATTCTTAAGTCACTTTTTCCAGCACTGTTTGTAACTTTGAAAGTTGCTAAAATGAATGGTTGTAAGTCAAGGATTATGTGCACTGTTTTTATTGGTCACAGACTGCCCAGAGTCTTTACAAAGTTGATTGGTTATCTGCATTTGACAATAAATAAATTACAATTAACGAAGCATATACAATGCATATAAAAGTAGTTGAATATTGTTGTAGTACCTGTTTACATACAGAGATCTAATGCATGGTTTAAATGTCCAGTCATTCCAAGGTCTTTCTGTTCATTATAGTTAACTAGATACATCTTAGTTACTGTTTGCTTGCTTATTAACTATGTGCAGAACATGAGGCTCTACTTTTGAAAATTTATATGAATCTCAATAAAAATATAAATAAAAATTTGAATTTTAGATGACATTGTTTTTTAAAAATATATTATAAGTTTACAGTTGGAAGTAAGCAAAATATAATCCATACCCTTTCTGTAGATGCTTTTTGGACATTTAAAATTTTTACTCCACTTGGCAAATTAAACTCATGGGTATTGTAGTCAGTGCTAAACAAAGTGTTTTGAGTTCGTGGGTCAACAAATTCCATTCCGATATCGCTGGTAATTGAAGTTTTATTTTTCTCCACACTAAGTTTTGTTTCCCCTTGCTGAAATACAATCTTTAAAAAAGAAAGAAAGAAGGTGCTGATTTTAATAACACAGAAATTATTTTGCTTAAATTATTAATTGGTAGTGCTTTTTCATCTTAATAAGAAATTTATAAATTTATTTTTAAAAGGTATAAATGCAAGACAGCATCCAACAAATTGAACAAAACAATTAAAACCAAAATAAAGAAAACTGCAATATTCCAGGGTCATAGAAATAAAACTCCACAACCAAAAGAATTTCACTAGCCAGCAAAACAAACAAGCGACCAATAACTAAAACCCAGATTTTTGACTATCAGAGATATATCTTATCCATACAAGGGTATCTTAAGAGGGTATGCTACAACTACCATTATTAAGAAGATTTTCCTCTTGGTTAGATTCCAGCCAAACATAATTCAGCAAGATAATATGAAGCCAAACCTTAGATACTGAATGTTAATATGCCAGGAGGCACATACTTACTGGCTGATTTTCTCCAACAATCACCAAATCTTCGTTCCGTCGGCCTCCCACTGTGCTCTTATATAATGGGTGTATAATTCCCATATCAGAATCTTGTTTAAATCTTAATAATCCGCTATCATGAAACTCCATGCTATCGCAGCCGTTGGGCCCAATACGAATTACAGCCCAAATTATGACGGTGATCTAAAAAAGTAAACATTGAACAGTTCTGAAAGATTCATGTCGCTTGGTAAAGGAATTAACATTTGAACCATTTGCAAATTTTTTGACCTTCTCCAAAACTTTTGAGAAATGTTTATGGTACAGCGAGCCTGAATGATGTCCATGAAAGGCAGCTTCCTACAGCAGTATAGGAAACAATTTATAGGTAGTCCTTGGCCTACAACCATTTATTTAGTGGCCAATGTTACAATGTCACTGTAAAAAATGACATGAATGAACATTTCAGAACCCCCCCCCCCCACACACACCCATGGTCATATGATCAAAATTCAGATGCTTGGCAACTGGTTCACTTAACAACAGTGTTACTAACTTAACAACTGCAGTGATTCACTTAACAACTGTGTCAAGAAAGGTCGTAAAATGGAGCAAAATTCACTTAATAACTGTTTCGCTTAGCAACAGAGAATTGGGGCTCAATTGTGGTCATAAGTCAAGGACTACTCACATGAGGAATGGCTAAGATTCTTTCTTTTATAAAATGAAAAATAAACCATATATATCTAAAATATTTTCCCCCTCTCCTTGCATTCAATACTTTAGCTATCCATCTTAAGGAGATGTAAATGTTCTAGATGAAATTCTGGAAGACCTGACAACAGGGAGTGACTTATTATACCTTTGTTACCTCCTGTTCAATTGCTTCAAGGCATTCTACAGGGGGGGCTGCCTTTGAAGACCACTCGAATTTTGCAGCTTGTTCAAAATGCAGCCGCCCATCTTCTAATGAGTAAGGAACACCCATCCTATTTTGTGCCAGATCTGTGGGCACTGCACTTGCTACTACCGAGCTTCTGGGGACAATTCAAACGGTTGGTTTTGACCTATGGAATCCATAATGGCTTGGCACCCAAACAGAACCTATCCTATGTGAGAGATCTGGGCAGGGGTCAGCAGTCAAATCTTCTGGAATAGCCTCCCCCCGAGATTTGTAGGATGCCCTCCCCCACCTGATATTTCAGGAGTACCATATTTTTTGCACTACAAGACCAGAGGTGGTATTCAGCAGGTTCTGACCAGTTCTGGAGAAACGGTAGCAGAAATTTTGAGTAGTTCGGGATACCACCTCTGACTGGCCCCGCCCCCATCTATTCTCTGCCTCCCAAGCCCCAGCTGATTGGCTGGGTCTTCTTTGGTTGCTCTGCACAGGAGAACGGAGCTGGAAAGCAGGTTAGTGGGGAGGGAATGGGGATTTTGCAGTATCCTTCCCCTGCCACGCCCACCAAACCACGCCCACCAAGCCATGCCATATCTACAGAACCAGTAGTAAAATTGTTTGAATCCCACCACTGTATAAGATGCTCTAGACCATAAGACCCACCTAGCTTTTGAGGAGGAAAACGAGGGGGGGGGGGAAATCTGCCTCTGTCTCCCACCAATTTGGCTCCTTACAGCAAACAGCTTGGTCAACTTCAGCACAGCCTGATTTAGCACGAGCAGCTGATTAGCAATTGGATTGGCCTCCTGGGATACTGCCGATCAGCTATTCTAGGCTGCAGGGATTGCCGCCACCCCCCCCCCACATTGTCGTTGCCGCCTATTGCAGCTTCCACGTGTCCCGTTTTCGACCTCCGCGTGTCCCGTTTTTGGCCCGTTCCAGGTGGCTACGAAGGGGTCGAAAACGGGATGCACGGAGGCAGAAAATGGGATGCACAAAGGTGCCAATAGGCGGCGGCGGCGATCCACGCAGCCTGGAACAGCTGATTGGCGATATTCTGGGAGGCCAATTCAACCGCCAATCAGCCGCTCATGCTAAATCAGGCTGTGCTGAAGCTAACCAGGCTGTTCGCTGCAAGGAGGCAAATTGCTGGGAGGCAGAGGCCAAAGGATGGGGGCCAGCCTGTGGGTGTGGCTTTGGCAACATTCGCTCTATAAGACGCACAGACATTTCCACCCACATTTTTTTGGTGGGAAAAGTGTGTCTTGTAGTGTGAAAAATACGGTATATAGATCACCTTACACTTCCAAAATCAGCTGGCAGGCTCAGGTGCAGTTGAGGGAACTGCCATTAGTGCATGGCATAGTAGGTTGAGTCATTCTGTCCCTTGATCAGGAAAGAACACACAGCTTCTCCTGTTGCTAGTAAGTTCTAACTGAATATCATCAGTTAGAATGCATTTTATAGATTGTTATACTTACAATTAAATTAATAACCGCCAAAATGAATAGGAGGACCAGGACACAGATCGCCAAATTGCCTTTTCTGCCTCGCAAACCAGTTTTGTGTAGACGATCTTCATCAATCGGGATGTATCCAGCCTTGAAGTTAGAGTTATGCTCTTTGTTAATATTTCTGCGTTCCACGGCCTTTTCTCGCATCGATTTCTTCACGGGGCCATTCGAGCTTTGCTAAAATTTCATCCAAAGACATCACATGGACCAGATTAATTAATATTTCATTTCTGCCATAATATGATGATCAAAGGAAGATTTGCTCACTAATATTTAAATGTTTTAAAATGATCAGTAAGCATCTACATGGGACTATATCATTTATTTTATTTACAAAATGATTAGATCCTGGAGAAAGGGAGCAGAAGTTGAAAAATACTTCAACGATCCTTACAGAACAGGTAGTCCTTAAATTATGACCATAATTGAACCCAGGAATTTCGGTTGTTAAGTCATGATGGTCATAAAGTCACCACATCATCGGACCTCATTTTACAACCTTTTTTTTTGCAATGGTCATAAAGCGATCGCCATGATTCTCAAGCAAACACCAGAACCCATTATTTTCAATGATTCACTTAGCAACTGTGGCAAAAAAGGTTGTAACATAAATGTGTCAGTTAACAACAGAAATTTCAGGGTGAATTGTGATCATGAGGACTACGAAAGGTCGTAAGTTGGTTCTGCAACCCAACAGGACAGACACAGACTTCAGAGAGTAATTAGGACTGCAGAAAAAACAATTGCTACCAACCTGCCTTCCATTGAGGACCTGTATACTGCACGAGTCAAAAAAAGGGCTGTGAAAATATCTACAGACCCCTCACAGCAAGGACATAAACAGTTTCAACTCCTTCCCTCAAAACGACGCTGCTATCTGAGCATGTGGCAGTCCGGTTGAGCTTCCCGGTTGTCCACATCTCCTCCACTGTCCTTGTTAGATTTTAGACTTAGAATAACTTTACTGTCACTTTGAATGGACACTAATCGACATATATTAAAATGAAATGTCGTTGCATGCAGCTCTCAGAGAGAGTCACCAGCTCCCACATGCGTTAAAGATGACAAAATAAATATAAAGTTATGCGTATACCCACATATATTATATGACATGGAGAAACATCACAGCCTAGATAGACCAACCAAACGTAGCTTTGTACCATTTGGTACAAAATATAAATTGAAATGCAAATCAAGTCCCTTCATACAAATTAAAACTCTAATAAACTAAAGATAGCAAAATGCTATACCCTACTAAAGACTTATTTCATGGTTTGTATCAGGCAGTAAAACAAAAACAAAAAATAACCCCTAACACTCCTAAAGAGGATTTAGTTCAGCAAAAAATAATGGCATGTGCAGAAATGGACATGCTCACATTACAAATGAAAGAGGAGGACTCCCGAGTATTATTCAATCTGGCACAAATGGTATGAATGGGTCATGGGATATAAGAGATATAAGATATAAGAATAGATATAAGAAATAATATATAATATAATATAATATAATATAATATATACAATAGATATAAGAAATAAGGAGATTAATTGTAAGAGACCTTAAGAAAATGATGTGTAGATATGTAAAATATATAGGTATATAAAATAGAACTAACAATTATGGGTGGATGTATATTAAATGTATTAGGACTTATAAGATAATACTTGTAGATGTCAAAACGCTGTTGAAAATGTGAATACGATTTGAATTGTATTGGTGGAAAACACAATAAAAATTTATGAAAACAAAACAAAAATAAGAATAGAATATAACTTTATTATAGTCATAGACCAGCAATAGACATCACTATTTACAATATATTAAAAAAGTAGACACATTATAGTACATCAAAAAAAACACAAAATAAACAATAAACAATGTAATTAATTAATTAAATATAAAATTATGCATATACTAACAACTGATCAACCCAAAATAGAACCATTTGGTACCAAATATAAATTGAAATGCAAATAAAGACCCTTCATACAAATTAAAACTCTTGATAAACTCAAGATAAGCAAAAGGCTATACCCTAAAGTCTTATTTCATGGCTTGTATCAGGTAGTACCACTAAAATAAAGTAATAAATAAAAATACAAAAGTATGCGTATACCCACATTTATAGATTATATGACACAGGGAAACAACACAGTCTAGGTCCGGATATATACATGCAGAGGGCGAGAAAAAAACAACAACCCCCCGAAATCTTGCGAGTTTATTCCATTAGGGACCCGCCTGGGCTCCGGCGAGAGGCAAGCCCTCGTAGCGGTCTATTTTTTGCTTTTGCACGGAGGGTCGGGCGCGCTTAATTGGGCAGGAATCTCCCTCTCGGACGCAGCTCCGGGCGTGGTCCTCGGCCAAGGGGCAAGCAAGCCAAGGCACCAAAGCGCATGGTTGATTTATTTTTATCATTATTATTTTTTGGAGGGGTATTTTAAGGATTCCCTTAGGATTCCTTCACAAAGCGCAAATATAACGGGGCGGCGAGGCGTGCCACGCCAGAAAGAGGCGCTTTGTGGCGGAGCCGCTGAGGCGAGCTTTCTCCCCACCCCGCGTTCCTTTCTCCCTCAGGCCGCCGACTGGCGCTGCTGAGGGCGGACTTCCCTCGCCGTAGGCTGCTGCGAGATCCCCCACCCCACCCCAGGGGACGAGCTCAGACCCGCCATTTAGCCCCAAATTGGGGCTGGTGGGGGCAGAAGAGACTCCGGCGTCCGGGACTCCCCCCCCCGCCCGCCAACGTCCTCCTCCTCTTCCTCCCCTCAGCCGCAGCTCAGCTTGGCGCCAGATTTGCAAAGCGGCAAATCTTTTGCAGCCTCGGCGGCTTCCCGAATCTCCTTCCCTCTCTGCTTCCCCTGGGCTACCGACCTGTTCGGAAGCCGAAGCCGCTGTCCCCGCCGCCGCCGCGGCTGGAAGAACCGCCATCTTCGGCTCTTGTCCTTCCTTTGCCCGGCAGGGGGAGCGAGGCTGCTCGTCGAAAAGCTGGCGCGGAATCCCTCCTTCGCCGCCGCCGGTCGGCGCTTTCTGCGGCAGGCGGCTGGTGCGAAGGGGAGAGCCGCGAGAGGCCGGGCTTGGGTGTCCCGAGAGAGCCCCGTGGAAGGATTTTTTCAGCGCCGGCCGAAAAGGAGGAGGAGGAAAAATACAGGTAGCCCTCCACTTACGACCACAATGGACCCCAGCATTTCTGTTGTTAAGGGAGACATCTGTTCAGTGAGTTTTGCCCCATTCTAGGGCCTTTCTTGCCCCAATTGTTTAAGTGAAATACCGCAGTGGATAAGGTAATAATCCAGTTGTTAGGTGAATCTGACTTCCTATAGGATAGGATCCTGCGTAGGATCCTGGATAGGATAGCATAGTGGATAGGATAGGATAAGATCCTGGATAGGATAGGATCCTGGGTAGGATAGGATTCTGGGCAGGATTGGATAGGATACTGGATAGGATAGGATAGGATAGGATCCTGGGTAGGATAGCATACTGGATAGGATAGGATAAGATCCTGGATAGGATAGGATAGGATAGGATCCTGGGTAGGATAGCATACTGGATAGGATAGGATAAGATCCTGGATAGGATAGGATAGGATCCTGGGTAGGATAGGATTCTAGGCAGGATAGGATAGGATACTGGATAGGATGGGATAGGATCCTAGATAGGATAGGATCCTGGGTAGGATAGGATTCTGGTCAGGATAGGATACTGGATAGGATGGGATAGGATCCTGGGTAGGATAGGATTCTGGGCAGGATAGGATAGGATTCTGGGCAGGATCGGATAGGATACTGGATAGGATAGCATACTGGATAGGATAGGATAGGATAAGATCCTGGATAGGATAGGATAGGATAGGATCCAGGGTAGGATAGGATTCTGGGCAGGATAGGATAGGATCCTGGATAGGATAGCATACTGGATAGGATAGGATAAGATCCTGGATAGGATAGGATAGGATCCTGGATAGGATAGGATTCTAGGCAGGATAGGATAGGATATTGGATAGGATAGGATAGGATCCTAGATAGGATAGGATCCTGGGTAGGATAGGATTCTGGGCAGGATAGGATAGGATATGATACTGGGTAGGATGTGATACTGGGTAGGATAAGA